ACATCGTTACTTTAGCTCTGTGAAGTGCTGATGCCACACCACACATCGTTACTTTAGCTGTGTGAAGTGCTGATGCCACACCACACATCGTTACTTTAGCTGTGTGAAGTGGTGATGCCACACACGGTCCGGCTGATGACCAGGCTAGTCTGGCTGATGTCTCGGTCCTGCTGAAGTCTCGGTCCGGCTGATGTCTCGGTCCGGCTGATGTCTCGGTCCGTCTGATGACCAGGCTAGTCTCGCTGATGTCTCGGTCCTGCTGAAGTCTCGGTTCGGCTGATGTCTCGGTCCGGCTGATGACCAGGCTAGTCTGGCTGATGTCTCGGTCACCGCCGTTTCTGCATTTCAAAGACGCAGGACGAATTCTATCATCAGAGATACCTAAGCAATAATGGTAATAATCATTATAGATAATCATTACTTTGGTAACGATGCAACCCAGGCTCTCAGAGGACGTCCTACAATGCTCTGTAACAGTCTCGTCTGTTGGTAGACAAGATTTTATGATATAAATTAAATGAAAGTGTTTGTAACGAACAGTTTACAATACAAAAAGCAATTAAAATTCTGAACAAGTACTGTAACTCGATCGTCAATAGTGGAAGAATTCTATGAAAGAAAACTTCATTTAGATGATCGTATACCAGCTCAAACTGAGAGAAGTGTGTCGCGATCACACACCTCAAGACCAGCAGTGCGACCGGGGTGAACTAATAGGCAAATTGACCAATTGTTAGGCTACTACAACTGGTTGGATCAGGAGTAGTCTAGTCGTATAAAAACGAACTATAGTCTAGTCATATAAGTCGTATAAAAACGACACTGATGCGTTCCTTCACTGGTACGCCTTTTGCTGAATCAAATTCGGTCAGGATAAATCACGCTAAGGGAAAAAGTGTATCACTATTTGGACAAAGTCTCATTAATTTCTCTCAGTGAGTATGACATTGATGTCGTTCTGGAACTAGTCAAAGTTCTAGGAATTCTACAGCTACGGCAAGCAACGTAGACAATCTTGGGCAACGTATCGGATGTATTTCTCTTCCACTATATAGTCTAACCCCAGGCTTTAGAGTTTCATATTTCCTAACGCACAACTTTGTTAACAAGGAACCTTTAAAACGATGCTGTCTTCAATGAGTAAGAACCGAAAAACTTCGTGAAATTCGAATCTCTTGAAAGCCGAGAGGCTCTTTTGTTGGTCTCACGTGCGAGAAACTTTCAATTGTCCATTCTCGAATCTCAATTTCGAGCTAGAGTTAATTATTTGAAGAGAAAACCCCTTTGAGAAAATGAAATTAATGTAGCAATGTAAACTTCAGTAACTATTTCGAATTTTAGTGGCAGTAAGTTTAATAATTAAAGTTTAAGTGGTTTAAATTGATTTCCTGTGCGTTTCTTTTAATTGAAAGACTTTCAACTAATGTGAATGACGTTGTGAGTGAATGACCCATCCCAGAACCATTTGACCTTTGTACCAATGTCAATTATAATAGTAATTATCACAAGAAGTCGGGTGTTCTTTGAGTATAAAATGGATGGTAGCCCATAACTAATATAGTTCGCATTGTAAACAAAAGAGAGTACTTACGTAGGATCATCTTGTTAAACGTGATATGTCATTAATTGCTCCGACCTTCCAAAAATCTAAATGTATACTCACACAGAAGAAAAGAGTTTGTTATTTATTTTCTAAAAAAATTAATTGATAAAGGGGTGGAGGCTGAGTGGATTACTCACAACATCAATTCACATGCAGTTACAGCAAAAATTAACTAAACTCAATTTACATAGGGTGTGGTCGCGTAATGGAAAAAAAACGCACTAGTTCGAAAACACCAAGTCTTTATGAGCTACTTTTTCCGAGTCAACATCAATGTCGTCCGCCTCTCGGTGGAAGCTGTAGTTCTGCAGGCGCTCTACAACATGAATCGGTCATATGGTCCATATAGTGACACACATACTGCACATATACAATCTCTTTTTAGCGCGTTTTCTCATTTATGGAAAAAATGCACTATTGCGCTCGCTATGTCCGTCTGTCTGTCTGTCCGTCCGTCCGTGACCTCAAATTTTCGTTGACGAGAAAATGCGCTCTCTGTCACTCACTGCAGCGAGTACCGAGTTATATATTTTTCGCCTGGGCCAAACTGTGTCAGGGGGACCCACTCAGGGGCAAAAACTGCATCGTAACTTGGACTCACTCTCACCCTGTTCTCAGAGCGACGTGGTTTTAAGCGAAGTTGTGTTCTAACAAAGTTGTATTTTAAGAGAAAAATATTTTCGCGGCTTTGAGCGAGATCTCTGAGCGCGATCTCTGTCCTCGCCATGAATATTTTAGCTTTCTTCAAACGTTTGAGTTACGGTCGCCCAACACAGTTAAAATATCCTAAAAATACTTCTAAAGCCCTCGACCGACGTTTCAAAATGGATGTGATACGCTTGACTCCAACTTCACAAAGAGCTCGTGGAAGCGATGTTTAAAGATATAGAAACGGTCCGTTTATATAGGATACGCGTGATATCAAATAAAGATTCCATGTTGTCCAATTGAGGATGAATAAAAAGTATCAATATAAGTGACTAAATATATAGACGCGTAGTTCTCCAGGTTCCGATTCAGACTTGCAATTGAACGCGGTCAAAATTCCTTTGGAGGAATTTGGAAGATTATACATGAGAAATTCTGAGAAACTTAATTACAAAAAATATAATTGGTGTAAAAAATTGAAGCAAGAAAAGGCATCAGTTATTAAAGATCTTGATAAATATTAATAAATTATATTATTGCTTGCTTATAAGACGTGTTGCAAATCCAAATTGGTTCAAACGACAAATACAGATCCTATAGATAGCTATCACAACCATAATGCACAAAGACGCCGTCGAGATTTTGATCGACGAGCTAACTTTCTTGAAAATGAAAGTAAGGAAGGGACGTAACCGTGTAGAAGAGCGAGGAGATCGTGAAACTCTTGTTAATTATACATGAATAATTTGTACATGTAGCTGCTGAAAATGAGTATATGGATAGCAATGCTGCAGGGGCTACCTCTTCACTAAATACATCATTAAGTGTGTCATTAATAAAATTATCTGATTGTGTTAACCATGAGCAGCCGCTCACTATTGCTTTTTCTGCTCTACCAAGATTCGTTATAACAGCGACTTGACTGTTGAATAACGTCGTCAACGACACAATTTCACGACAATCTGACGAGCAGTTAAATGATGTTTTATATCTTTTCTCTCAGGATTAATTTCTCTGGGTTAAGTCGAAGAACCTTTCTTTCAATGAGAATTTATGTAAAATAATAGTACTATTTTTTCTACATTCTCATGTCAAAAAAATTATCTTCAATATCGATTATCAGGCGTTAGAAATAATGACGCAGTTTTAGTAGATATGAATGTTTCTATGAATATTTTTTATCAAATGAATCACTGTAAAATTGTCGGATTAGCCTGACTTTTCACCGCTTTTGTCAGACATTAAAATTAGTTTGAGATTTCAACTCTACGACTTACGCCATCAGGATTTACACAAGATATGAAACTTTTAAAATATTAAAACTATATCAGTACAATTAAGTACTAACCGATGAAAGAAAAGCGTGAAATGCAGCCTCGAAAACTAAAAAATTCGCTCAAAGTCTTCGATGACATTCTTTTTAAACTTTAGTTTCATCAAAATAGCTTATTTAAAATAAGATAAACTCATATGTGAAGTTCATTTCCGTAACGTTAAATAATCTGGATTTATGCAAACATGAACAAGCGTTCCATAACGTTCTAAAAAACTCAGCTATTAAAGATGGCCGTAGCTTTTAATTTTTCAAGAAGAAAAGTAGGAGCCACTCTTTTTATCTCTTCGTAGACGAACAATTTTGTATATCTAATAGGGTGAAATAATGAGCGAACGTTTTGCTGTATTGGAAGCAGCGATTACACCACAAAAGACACCTGGTTTAATGATTCACATTAATTTCAAAACTTTAGTTTCGAAATTTTAAATTATGTGTTTTTTTTTTATATATTCTAACGTTTTTTTTTGTTGCTTATATTGTTAATTTATTTCTGTGTTCGCATTGCGCCAGGTGGAATATGTAGTTTAGAAACGCTGTGATTGAAGTGGAATTTTTAAGACTTCGTGTTCGGATCTGCATGTCAAAACAAAGCAATAATTCATGCAGTCACTGCTCTGTTTGGAAAGAATTGATTTCCTCGAGTAAGATAATTCTGATATTGAATCATGGAGGTTTTTACAGGAATCTCCAATTTCGGAACAACTCAACCAACATTCATACAATACATGCAGCCACTGCGTAGTTGGGAAGTGAATGAATTCCTCGAGTTAGATGAAAATTTATGTTGAATCATGAGAGTTATTACTGGAAATGAAATTCTGAAACGACAGAGCTGACACCTATGAAAATTGGATAATCTTATTTCGAAATGGCGTGAATGACATCAGTGCCCTTAATGCAGTCACTGCGCAGTTATAAAGTGAACGAATTCCTTGAGTTAAATGATATTCGGTGTTGAATCATGGTAGTTATAAATGGAAACCCCAATTTCGATTCAACTGAATCAACATCTATATATATATATATATGCAATTCATGCAGCAACCACGCAAGCAAAATATGAATGAATTCTTGGTTTAAGTTGACATCTGGTATTGAATCGAAGAAGTCATTGGTGGGAAATACAATTCAGACGCGACTGAACTAACATCTGAATTCATGCTGCCCCTGCGCATTTGACAAGTGAATGACTTTTTTGAGTCAGGTGATATAAATAGTGCAGAATCTTGGAAGTTATTTAACGGACAACCAAATTTCGGAACAGGTAAAAGAACATCAATAAAATTTAAGCGGCCTTTTCCTTCCAATAGCAAAAAATACTTTCTTAATTTATAATTATTTGTTTGTATCTATTCTTAATAATAGTACTAGCGCTATTTAGATTTGAAATTAAAGCCATATTGAAGGTTACAAATCAACTAGAAACAAGTAAAAACGCTTCTGCAATTGAATCACCGGAATTCACAGTAACAGGGTCACAGCAAGGGGAATTCACAGAAAAATTAAACTTATACAGACATGCGTATTAGAGATTGCGATCAATAGAAGCTCATGACATATTTTTGCACATAAATAAGAAATATTTGTGCCAAGAGTAAATTATACACAATGATTATTCTTTACCATTGTTCGAGGTATCGAATTTTGAAAACAGAATTTTTTAATTTTTCGAGAGAGAGCCTTTGCAATGCAGTTTCTTGAACCAGACGCTGTGACAATGTATTATAGTTGCATTCGTCATCGTATTTTATCTAATTTGACCGAAACCTAGAGCTCTATATGGTAGGGAGATTTAGTTTGCTCATGAAAAATTTCGTGAAGGGTGTCCTTTTATATGTGACTGTTGCCAATCTCGTTTGCATACAAATTTCGGGTTTCTTCCCACGAGTTCATTATAACGTACCCGTCGCTTCCCACGGGATACAAATTTTTAGTGTTCTCGTATTCTTGTTCATGTTTGGACTCTGGGTAAAGTCTGTTCACATTGCAGTGATTCACAGGGAACGGACTTAAAGTTTGAGTTATTTTGGTCGCTGGTGCAGAGCTGGCGTCAACATAAGGCTGGAAGTCCCGGTTGATGATCTCGCGGCGGGTGAGAGCTTCCCTAAAGCCATCCCTTGAATCAGCAACGGCGTCCATCGAGCGGATGTTAGCACCACCGTTTCCTGGAATAAAAAGAAGATGATTATCAAGACGAAATTGAACAGAAGTTAGGGCAATTATCTGTTGTAGTAGTTTTTGGCAAATAAGCATTAGAATGCCATAGAATTTAGCTATTTTTTCGAATCAATAATAATAACTCGATCTCTTATTGATCTTATCAATGACAGACCAGATTATATATCATTTTTAAACTCTATGTCAATCAGTACCAGAACATAAGTATCAAAATATCAGAGTTTCAGATAATTCAAGATACCTTTCCGAGCTCTGATGCGTGTTTTGCCGAACGATGCGCCGACCACCACGAAGACGATCACAAACAAGACGACGCCGACTGCACCGCCTGCCAAGATGATACGGTGAGTGATATCATATATCGAGCTTACGCGTGTTCTGAGTTTAGCTAATGGAGCAGTAGCATAATATATATTAAGTTGGAAGTCGTAAACTCTACCTCCGACTTCATTAAATAATTTTTGAATAATCCGTTGTCGGATTGGCCCTCATCGTATTGATTTAACCTGCAAACATTTCACTAAAAATTCGACCAACTCGAAATTCAGTAGGCCGAAAGAAATGAGTTAATCTATTATTGGAGTCAAGTTAATTCAGCCATGCATTTGGACTCTTACACATATTTTTGCGTCCCTTTGCACTAAAGTTATCCATGGAAAATTGAATAAATTATCCCAAGATCCCTCATCAAACCGCTCGGATCTAATCGCTCACCGATCTGTGATGCGTCCATGAATGTGTATTGATGTTTTGCCGATATTATTGTTTTTGTCCGTTGACATTGTTCTGTTGAATTAATTACAAAGAATGGTTTGTGGGTTGACCGATCGCGGATGACCCAGTATAGGAAATGAGAGATGCTTGTTAATTTATCAGCGTAACTTGTGACAGTGAAATTAGAACCCTTGACAGTGCTGTTCGTAATATTTTCCGACGTAATTATCGAAAGTTCCAACCACAGCAAACCTTCCCTGTGCTCGGTCGGCACTGGAATCTCATCGTGCTTTATGTATCGGATTATTCTATCTACTTTGAAAACTGCTTTTACCTTTAAATTTGTAGCATTGCAAGCGTTGAGGCAAATCATAACAGATTTTTGATTCAATGTTTTCTTTGAAATACTGCAACTATATAAATTATTGAGGTTAAAATGCTCTTTAGAGTCAACTTGGTGTACGGATAAAGTAACTAAAAAGGCTAACACCACCACTGGTAACATTTTGTATTGTACGCTTTTCATCAAACTATAAACAATTCGACTCTTTCCACTAAGAATCACTGGTTTAATTAAAAAATTCGATCAGTTATCAATTTGGACCTGAATTATCATCCAATAACGAATTGATTATACACTTTAAGTCGTTGAACCACTTTCTTTTTCGCAAGCGATTGGAAGGTTTTGGCGACAAATTGTGGTTGGCTGGTCAATTCACTGCACCAAAACAAATTTCTGACATGAAGACAACTTTTAATTTCTTAAGATTACACGAAAATTTCATCCTCTTTTTTTCTTTTCGACAAATATCGTCAGTTTATGTTCCATCTCATGCATGAGTAGTTCAGAAGATTATGTTACGTGAGTAATGTTACGTTTGCATGAAAGTACGGAAAGCTGAGAAAAGCTTGATGCTGCAGTCCTCTTCAATATCGTATTGCAGTCCACTTCCTAGCACGTCGATTTCAGTAAGTTCAGTTTCCTGTATATCAGCTTCTTTAAAGCTAGCACAATGACGTCCTGAGTAAATCGCATTCTCCATTGAAACCAAAATTTGATGCCGGTTCAACCACAAAGATCACAGCGTTCTGTTTCAATATCAACAAGTTGTATCAACAGGAATCAAGTTCAATATCATGTGTTGAATGAGCCGAGTTGTTAACAGGTAGACAACTCGACTGAAATTTTCAATTGGAGTAATAAATGTTTGTCTCAACGGTAAAGTATTGGAGAAGTAACCGATATTTGACGACGAGAAAGGTGTCTATGATTCCGATATTTAGGGACGAAAAAGTGTCTACGAGTCCGATATTTGACGACGAGAAAGGTGTCTATGAGTCCGATATTTAGGGACGAAGAAGGTGTCTACGAGTCCGATATTTGGGGACGAGATAGGTGTCTATATATCATAATATATGAGTCCGATATTTGGGGACGAGAAAGGTGTCTACGAGCCCGACATTTTGGGACGGAAAGAGTGCTTACGAGCCCGACATTTAGGGACGAAAAAGGTGTCTACGAGTCCGATATTTTGGGACGAGAAAAGCATCAACGAGCCCGACATTTGAACGAGAGAGGCGTCTACGAGCCCGACATTTAGGGACGAGAAAAGTGTTCTCGAGTTCCACATTTGGGGCCGAGGAAGATATCCGCTAGGCCATGCGATAATGTAAGGCTAGGCGATTTTAGAGAGATAGAAAATGAATGATCGGATGGAGGGCATTAATCTAAATTTTTAGATAAAAATGATTTTCTCATATAATAATATATCGGAATATATTACTTTAATATGAATACAAATACATGTAGCAATTCATAGGAAACTCTCCTATTACCTTCTATATGAAAAGGCATTCTGTTATTTTTTTCTCGCTGCCTATCATTGTTTCCCTGTAGAGAGTGAAACTTAGCAAACGCTCGACTTAAAATGACATTTTTTCGTTATCGTTAGTAAAAATGAATCCTTTGTGGAAAATTATTATTTTTTTTTTCATTTGTCACATGCTGCATAAGCCGGAGTTTCAACTTGAAAAATATTTCTGCCGTTTTATTATATTCCATTTTAGCTATCAACAAGATATTCTTGCAGAACCTGTTAATACTAGCCAACTCAAAGTAAATTCAGCGCATTTCAATTGCGGTGGGCAAACTCCGAGAGCCTATACTAGCACCAGCGAGATCAATGCGGTTCATGATCGTAATTCAACCCCAATGTTTGTCCGAATTTCAAGATGAAGTCTAAGTCTAACTCCACTGTAGTTAACCTTTATTGTTCCAAGTTTCAAGCTAAAAACTTTCCTGCAATTATATACGTACATATAAAAAACTAATTAATAGAAAGTTAAAGATAATTACCGGTTTGCCAGCAATGATGAAATATGTGCAACAAAATCGTTTTAAAACAATATTCTAATTAAATCTATCTTTAGTAATATTTACACATGATAGTCACACTTAAAATCCTTCACTGGTGCAAGACGGCAGGGTGGCCCAGTGGTTAAAGTTCAGAGTACCAGGATTGGAGCAGAGAGGTGCGGGTTCGATCCCAGCTCTGTGCGCCAGTTTACTTTGCTTTGATGATCAGAAAATTTTTTCCCGTTCTTGGGGGAAATGCACCACGGTTTTATAGCGCATTCAGTTCAACGTTTGCAACCCGCTGCTTTGTCCCACGCGTCCTAGAGTGAAGCGCTGACCCGGAGCGAAGACGGTATCAGTAATGCTAGCACAATCAGGTTAGAGGCAGTAAAATTTTATTATTAAGACAAATAAGAAGCTTTAATGAAGGCAACGATTAGGCTAACTGATACTTCGTATATTGGAGATGAGCAATATCTCACATAAAGTGATGACAAAATGAGAGGTATTCAGGCGAGAGCAATATCCATGTGAGGGCTTGACAGAAACACGTTACGAGAACTTGCAATTAAAATGTAAGATGGCTCACCTGAGAGTAGTACGACTGGGCGCCTGATTGATTGTCGCGCTGCAGTCTACTTCCTAGCACGTCAATTTAGCTTTCAGTAAGTCAAGTTTCTTGTGTATCAGCTTCTTTAAAGCTAGCGCAATGAAGTCCTGAGGAGATTGTATTCTGCATTGAAACCAAAATTTGACGTCGGTTCAATCACATAGATCACAGCGTTCTGTACGTTTCAATATCAACAAGTTGAAGGACAATTGTTGAACAAGCCGAGTTGTTAACTTTGCGATAACTCGACTGTAATTTTCAATTGGAGTAATAAATGACGGTCTCAATGTTGTATGATTGGAGAAGTAGTTGACGGGTTCATGAAAGAGTTTTAGACGAGCTGTGAAGGCGTTACGTGCAGCTGAGGCAGCTCTAGATAACTGGGTTCGTTTAGTTTCCTGTGCCCTCTTACAATCTGCTGCAGGATGGCGCAATGACGCAAATTCAAGTTTCCGTTGAGCGAAACTTCCAAGTTTAGAACCATTTTCACTCATTTTTTTATCGTTTCTTTTTCAAATGTGTATGATATGAACTGAATTTGTGAAATGTTACGAAAAATAACATTTGAATATTTAATAACACCCAAAATGTTCATACTGGTTGTGAAAACTTTCGATTTTTCGAAATTGAATATTATTTTGGCAGTATTTCTCTTCGTTCTTCAGAGAAAGAACCAAATATCTCGATTCGAAATGGATGTCGAACAGTTAAAATATTATATTATCTATTACTGTTTGAGGTCCTGAATAAAACATTTTTAATTAAGGAATTTCAAGTTTAAAGAAAGCCTTAGACTTTTTAATAGGTGTTGATTGTTGTGTAAGATTGTTTAGAATAAATGTAATGCGAATACTATTTAAATATGTAATAGTCGTACATGCCTTGTCGTTGAATGTAATTTAGTTATTATCGCTAGCATTAATTACATTGTTTAATGTTTAATTTTTTAGCTGCAGTGAAGTTTATAGCTTGCATTTGTAATTTGAAACCTCGAGTCTTGATCATTAGGCTTAAAAGAGTACATGCTAAACTACAAGGTGCTTCCATTTCATCTTGAAAATATGATGTGCATGAGTTCGAAGAAAGAATTGCTGGCCATATCACGTATACGATCGCGCTGACACTTGGGCCAATTTGGCTTTGACGAGTGCTAACATCTATACAGAGCTGACTCATTATTGAACGACAATTACTTACAAATCAAAAATCATAACGGAAATTCGCGGGACAGCAGATGTTTCTACTAGATCCTTAGAAGCAATTATTGAAATAGAACGTCAAATAAAGCTACAAAATCACCGGCATATCGAAGAGTGTGCAGATATCGAATAGCACGCCACTGCGTGATCTCAACAGGATATGGCAGCGATACGCATATGCAAATGTTCAATGCGGATTCGTAGTAGCCGTGACAGGCTTAATACATGAACATAGGAAGAATTGAATTTTGAGTTCAGAACTTCATCCGAGGACGTAACGTCCAATATCTTGAGGGAGCTGACGATTCTCAAAAAATTAAGAAAAAACCAATTGTCCATTCTCGAATCTCAATTTCGAGCTAGAGTTAATTATTGGAGGAGAAAACCCCTTTGAGAAAATGAAATTAATGGAGCAATGTAAAGTCGATACCTATTTCGAATTTTAGTAGAAATAAGTTTAATACTTGAAGTTTAAGTGGTTTAAATCGATTCTGTGCGTTTATATTTAATTGAAAGACTTTCAACTAATGTGAATGACGCTGTGAGTGAACGACCTATCTCAGAAAAATTTGCCCCTTGTACCAATGCTGATTATAACAGTAATTATCAAAAGAAATCTGGTGTTTACTGTGTATAAAATTAATGGTAAGCCATACCCAAAAAATATTTCGTATTGTAAACAAAAGAAGGTTCTTGCGTAGGATCGTCTTGTTATACGTGATATATCATTAATTGTTCCGACCTTTAAAAATCAAAACGTTTACTCACACGGAAGAAAACATTACGTTATTCACTTTCTCAAAACAATTAATTAATGTAGGGGTGGGGGCAGAGTGGATTACGCACAATTGCAAATACCTGTCTCTTATACACATCTC